TTTTGTCTTTTGCGTGTTGGGTCTTGCGAAAGAAAACTCTGAAAATGCCATTTCAGACCATCTACAGACTCCAGATTTTCGAAATTTTCTCAAATGTTCTGCCTTCATTTCCGCGCAACTGCCATTTACGACGAAAATTCCCGCCGCGCATTTATAATACTACAGTCTGGCCCATACTTTCCTGTAAATTTCGACATACTAAAACGCTGTTTTCTGACTATCAGAATTCTGTTAAATCTTCCCCCAAAGTCCAGGAAATGGCATTTTAGAGACTCTAAAAAAATTTCCTCGGGCCTTCGGCCCTCGCTTTCAGCTCCCCAATCGAAAAGAGCTTCCTACGGCCCTGTTTAAACTTGACCATAATTTACAGTCAACTGGTGAAGATTCACTGCGAAGGCAAACGAAACTTCGCTTATATGAGACTAAATGAACTGTGATGAAAGTCTTAATTCCCGCCCGGATTTTCGATTCCAACAGCGGTTGTGTACTGCGATTTTTCCTGCCAAAACAACAAGCTGTTTGAAAATAACAACTGCGTTGTATCATTTTGTGATAGTTGTAGATGAATGTCTTTCGCAGACGAATATTCCAAAGTGAGCGTGTGACGCGTGAGAAGTGTTTATTCTCTCAGCTGCGTTGTTGACGTTCGCTTCAGGTTACAAAAGCCGTATCTCATGATCTATGATTTGCGATTTTTCCTGACAAAACAAGAACGTTTTTAAGACCTAGTTTTCTTTATACCATTTACTATAGTGTACTAATGAATGTCTTTCAGAAATTAGGGAAATACACGCGTATTTTGCGATACACAGCGAAAAATAATTTTGCGAAATCACGCGTTGGTAGTGTAGTTTCTGCGATTTTTCCTGGCTTCACATTATGAGGTAAAAACTAAAATATAGTTTTGTCAAATGCACAATTGTCTGAAGATGGATGTCCTTGACGAATTACGTTTATTCCGTGAAAAGAGACAGAGCAATTCCACATTTTATACGCGACAATTGACCCCGTTTCAGATTTATTTATTTTTTTTTTTTTAATTTTCGTCCAAAAATATAACATTTAACAACATACATTATTTACAATTTTTTTAGGGCTAGGAACCTACTAGAAACCAAAAGGCTTTTTTTTAAGGTCCCTAGATACAAATTCAAATTAAATAACTATAACATATATAAGGTGCCAGTTCGAGTGTTTTTCATTGTAGTAAGGATAGGAAAAAAAAAGGATAATAGTAACAAGTACTAAGATATAATGATTTGAATCTGAAACTGGAATCTGAAACTGTAGAGCGGATCGTAATTTGGGTCTCTGATATGGAATTTCCGAGTTTGACTAATGGTCGCGGGTCGCGTGTCGCGGGTAAAAAGTCGCGTGTCGCGGGTAAAAAGTCGCGGGTCGCGGGTAAAATGTCGCGGGTAAAAAGTCGCGGGTCGTAAAAAAGCTCTAAACCGTGTATTTTATTGAGTCGCGGGTTGAATAAAGTGTGTAAAAATCACGTTATCATTTATTAGTTATTTAATGGTTTTTATCAATAGTTGTTCGAAGATGTTATGGCTGCAATTGCGAGTTTCTAGATAAATATAGACAAGAACCATATAACATTATTGTAAAGCACGTTGATAGACGGTAATGCAAAAGGATCCTGTTACACATTCCTATGTTTATAGTCCTGATTTTAGTAATACATATTACCATCCAATTTCTACCATATCAGGCGTAAAAATCCGCTATTCAGTGGCTCAGTGCGCGTTGTCGTCAAGCCTCTGCGCATCGATCAGTACTTTCCAGAAACAAGTGCTAGAGAACAGCGACTTAAATGTCCGGGTTGTTGGTGAATCATAATGTACTTTTATAATGTCCTAGCATGGATATATCTATTATTTGTGATACTATATGGTTGTTTTTAAATTGGTATAAAACTGATTGTAATAGTATAGTGGTAAACTGAATTTATTTCTACCCGAAAGTCTTGTTTGTTTCTGTCAGAACATTTTTTTGATTAGAGGATTTTTGTCATGGTATAATTGTTGGTTTAACATATTGAAATTATTCTTTCAAGTTTTAGGCTTCTGGCACGTTTATATTGAACCATTAAATCGCGACAAAAGGCTCTTGGGCAATGCTTCGAGTTGAAGCAATCCTATATGGTTGTTTACTAAATGAAAACGTGATTTTACACACTTTATTCAACCCGAGACTCTAGAATACATGGTTTGGAGCTTTTTTACGACCCGTGATTTTTTTACCCGGGACATTTTACCCGCGACATTCTACACGCGACTTTTTACCCGCGACCATTAGTCAAACTCATTAAATCGTGACAAAAGGTTCTTGGGCAATATTTCGTATTGAAGCAATCCTATATAGCTGTTCAGTAAATGATAACGTGATTTTTACACACTTTATTCAACCCGCGACTCAATAAAATACACGGTTTGGAGCTTTTTTACGACCCGCGACTTCACCCGCGACATTTTACCCGCGACACGCGACTTTTTACCCGCGACACGCGACCCGCGACCATTAGTCAAACTCGGAATTCCCTGCCTCGTACCCAGGCGTCTCTTTGTAAAAAAACAGTAATGCCCATATGACGTGTTTACATGAAGTATTGTAGTGGGGAGAGATGGCGAAGGGGCTGATGGGAAGAGTGCACCCTTCCCAACAGCCCCTTCGCGCGTCGGATGCCTACCTGAATACTTCATGTAAGCGCCTGGGTACGAGGCAGGGAATTTCCAGCGTTTCATTCCCAAGACACGATTTATTCATGATTGCTGCACCTTGGATACTGTAATCAGATAGCATTTACGCACCCTAAATAGCCTCAATTTATGGCATCAAATGAGGTGTTGACAGAAAATTCACACTGATACTAAACACCTACCCACTCTGCTGTATCACAAGATTAATTTACTGACTAATTTATAGTGTAAAATAGAACAACCAAACGCTAAAACATTTCACAGGTTTGCAAAGTTTACATTGCTCTCCAGATTTACGTTTTTTTTATTTAAACTCTTCAATCACAAGCAGCCAAAGCAGCTCATGCGTGAGATAAATAATACTTCGCGTGTGAGCGTGAGAAAATATGCTGAGGCGTGTGTCACACGCATAATGCGTAAAAGTTCCCGAAGTGTATTTTGCCAAAATTCACCTAGGTTTTCGCGTAGATTACTAGATTCCTATTGTAAATAATATTGCAGCGTTTCCCCAGAAGTAATTTTCGCACATAGCGATTGTGACCGTGTGACCCGTGTGACTGGTCACAAATTCCCTGTCCCTTTTGCAGTCGCATATATCGAGCATCAGATGTATTATTCTGCCCGTAAGATTTGTTAAAACGTACCTAGAGACTTGAGAAGCTTTACATCCTCCTTGTACTTGTGATAACTATCGCATGCCACGTCTCCAGTATGATTTCCCCATACATTTCCTGGTGTATGAGTGAACGTGTCCCAAATATTGACGCCTTTACCATCAATATTCCAAGCACCTTCAATCTGATATGCGGAGCTTGCGCAGCCCCATATAAAATCATCTGGAAACTGACCTCGAAATAACTCTGCGTTGCTTACGCTTACGTAGCTTAAACACAGAGTAAAGGCAAGAATAAGTGCATGCCGTGATGCCATGACTATGTATTTCGTGAGCGCTGTATCGTCAAGCCTATACCGCCTTAAATCCTTGAGATAATAAAATAGGTGTTGGTCCTAACACGAATACCTTATCAGACTCCATGCTGATATTGATCGCTTGGCGTACGAAGCGACAAAGGCAAAATCTTGGGTAATCTGCGGCGATATCTCGTTATGTTAAGCCTGGCGCACACGATGCGATTTTAGTCGGCCGATAAAAATCGTTTGACATACCGATATACATCGGTATACTATCAAAACGTTTTGATATTATACGACTTTTATCGGTGGAATTTTAAGTATAACCAATCAGATTTCATGCTGTGATCACGTGCTCGTATTTATTTGGCAACATGGCGGCTACAGTTCAGGGAGCATATTTTTTTCGTAATCTTGTGCGGAGTATACCGATGTATATCGGTATATCAAACGATTTTTATCGGCCGACTAAAATCGCATCGTGTGCGCCATGCTTTAAAGAGTAAAGAAAACAAATCCTTTGTTTACATTTGGAACTGCTATATTATTTGTGGACATACTAACTGAATATCTAACACTTTTCTGGTTCGCAATCGGTAAATGAATATGAACTAGAGTACGTAAGTACGTTTCAATTCAAAAAAGTTCGAAAGATGCAAAATTTGGGCAATGTTTATATCTAGCTGTGGGTCCCCCTTTGTTATGAGCAGAACTGATGCGAAGAACGGACTTGGCATGGTCTTTAAGCGAATAGTTCCTGCGATGAAAATGCATGCAGAAACCCTCGCCTTGCTGACAAATTGACAAAACCATTATATTTTCCGAACATGAAGTATTTAAAGTAGTTGTCTTGGTAACACGATAATTTTGTTAATAACACCTAATATCTGTTAATATACCTAATATTTGTTAATATCTGTTTGGAAAATTGATAATTTTGTAATTTTTTGTGTTATTAACTTCTTATTAACCGAACGTGTGGGGTCTGTACAGAGAAATATTGGATTGAGGTCTTTTTTCTACAGACCGAACCCGAGGTCCGATATTTCTCTGTACAAACCGAGCACGCTTTGCTAGCAGATACCTTATCAACAACAAAATAAATTATAATTTTCAATTAATTTTGCTGTTTTGTTTCAAAATGCATGCGTTGAATCAGCCAATCACAGTCCGCCATTTCTTCGGAGGTTATGCTTGCCATGCATATACTAATGTACGTTATTGTACGTAATATAAGCTTTATGTAAAATTCAACTAGAATTTAAAAGCTTCGCAAAACGTCAGTAACTGAAAATGTTCTTCAGAAAACTATTATTTTTAAACTGTTTGAAACTGCTTTTTATCGATATTCAACTTTGAGTTTGAAATAAAATCATTTCAAATTCTCGCATGAAAATAACATTGCTTTCATCTTTATTATATCCACACAATTTCGTCGGGCAAATCGGTTTGGAAAAACTGAAACTGATTTATATTTAATGACAAGTGGCAAAGTTTCTCGCAAAGTGTCAGATAGGCTGAGATGAAAAAACTTGTGAAAAATATACCTGCTATACCTTTCTTTTATTCGTTATGTTCGTGAATGGTCGAGGTGAGAATCTCTGGGTGAGCATGAAAACTTCAAAACGCGACTGGAAACGGGTTAACTATAACTGCATAACATGAAGTTCTTCCTCTTATCACTCAACTTTCAGTTTCGACTTAGGCCACCCCCTTTTGGTAGGGCAAACAAATCACCGCCATGTGGTTTCGCCCCTGCCAATCAGTGTTCGCTATTCAGCCACAGTCGCTATCAGTTTGAGATCAGTGAGGATGACCACACCACCCACGCACGCCGTGAACCATAGTGTTGACGAACTTTAGACTTCGCCAATGCTTTCCTTCCCCCGGGTGTAAATAGTCGGGCGGAATTATAGTACCCTCGCCCTGGGTTTACGCCCGGAATGGCGCTCCGCGCCGTTGGCTCGGGGATTATTACTGGAGGAAGTGCTCCTATATTTCCGCCAGTCAATCAAGTGAAGCCAAAAACATGGAGGATTTTACGCGATTTCCATGAAAACTTGTTCTTATTTCGATCCTACTATCCTACACTTTATACAATGTCTTCACCCCCCCCCCCTGGTTTTTGCACAAATGTAACATATTTTGGTTTAGTTTGTCTTTGAACTGAAAATCTTTATATATCTTTGTTCCATTTTGCCTGTTTAACAAAGTCAAAGAAGACGGTGCATTTTTAATTACTCTGCTTGTCGCTCTAAAGGAAGAATATTCTTTCTTACCGGTAAGATTAATTTGTTTTACTTTCTCGCTTGGCAACGTTGCCATATTAAAACTCATGGATATATCCTATGTCAAAACCTGATGCTATATTAAAACTGCGAGTGTTGCTAGTCACAGCAGTTTTTTCATTTCTACATCAATTGACATTGTACTAATTAAGCAAGTTGTCCTTGGCCAACCTCGTTCCCATGCAGGGTCTGCCTAGGTTGGTATTTGGCAAACTCTTTCCTGTCTTGTTTTATTAAACTCATTTCCGCTTGGTTTTCATGGTGCTTCGGTTTGTGTCTTGTTTTTCAAATTGCTGGAAAACCTTAACAAGGTGTTCAAATTCCGCATCACCTTGTTTTGGTTTCTTTAGGAAATCCTTCCGTATATCCGGCATTAAATGGCAAAAATTTAAAACAATCTGTTGTATGATGTTCGTCCAGAAAACGTAAGTGCTTTGTTCTAAATCCCTCTGGTTCTGATAAAGATTTTAAAATTAACTTTTTGTAATCGTCTTTCAGTCCATCACGAGAGACGTATATGGCATCACGGCCATCTAGACAAGCGCCGAATGCAATGGGCCAGAGTCTTTTGGGTAAAGAAAAATTTTAAAAAACAATGATAGAATGCTCAATGGATAACCGAGACTGTCACTGTCTCATAGGTCTACATATAGTCACAAGCGACGCTGCCCAAGAAGGGCAGACCTATGGGGCAGACCCTTAGCGGATCGATGCAACATCCACGCTTTGTCAACTTTGACCGACGGAGGTCTATAACGTACTAGCTGCGGCCAATTCGCCCGTATAAAATATTATTTGAGAATATAGTTGTTTACCTCGGTTTCATGCTATATGCTTACATGTTTATACCGATGGTGAACAGGCATATATGAGTTATTACAAAACTGAATTACTACAATTCCATTCTTATTGTTATGCATAACGTAACCCAAACCTTTGCAGAAAGGCTGCAGAATTGACTGAAAGTCCGCCCAGCTTCATTTTCTGGGCTGCCTGTAATATATTCATTCGGACAGCCTTTCATATTTTATGGACGAATGACATGGAACCCAATTGCCGAAATGTAATTTAACAGTTGTTATCTGGTATACCAATTTCCTATTTGGTGAAAGACGTACGGATTTCAAGAAGGCGCAATCAATTAGCTTCACAACTTCCTGGATACGTATATTTTCTTTTTGGAAGCCAACTTAATACGTCAGCTGTAAATCGCTTAAACAGGATATCTGTATCAGGCTGTCGTAGATAAAATTCGAAGTCAACGAAGGCCATCGAACAACCTGCAATCACAAGTATTAACTAAAAGTTGAATGAGGAAAGGTATAGTGTTGTATTCAGCATTTCAGTGTAATACTCATGTTTATATTTCTAGCATGCGCGGCCGTGATTTATCAAATGGTGGAAACTGAAAAGCAAGGATGCTATAGTGAGATTAGACTTGGATCAAGTCCGTCGCTCTAGAGTCCGAGTCGCGAAGCGACGAGATCGAGCGCGCCGCGAAGCGGCGCGCGAGGTGCACCTCGCGCTCTCCCTCGGATTCTAGAGAGACGGACTTGATCCAAGTCTATAGTGAGATTACTGACTGGTAAATTGAGAGAAAGTTTAATGCAAATTGGCGAATTGAATTCCTTTGATTTTTTCATGAATTAGTTTTACAGTGTTATAATATTATTGAGGCTTAATACACAAATTTGGTTAACGTTAACTCACATCACCTAGTTAATTACAGTGTAACTGTTCTTGTTTACAGAAGCCATACTATAGCCCACCAAGCATTAGAGTCATGTATAAGCATTAGAGTCATTTAATAGAGTCATGTCATGTTATTCACTTGTTCTATCGATGATTTTGTATGCTAGAACATTGATAATTGAATTGATGTCAATTGGATATAAACGAACGTTTGTCTATTGGTATAGCTTTTGAGCAACATTCTTACTTCGCCAGCACGAAAGGGTTTAGTTTGTTGCGGAGGGTGTCAAATTCAGCACTGTGTGAGGCAATCCGAGATCAACGGACCTCGGTAAATCGATCTTCGATAAAGCGATTTCTATATTTGATCCAGAATAAAAACAAATATCGCAAAATCCTATCATTTAAATATCGCCATTAAAGTATGCTAACTTAAAGACTAATACATAAAACACAATAATTTAAATCAACTCTTCTGTGGCTTCCCTCGTTTACATCCATGCAGATTAGCTGAAATATATAGCACGCGGGGGTGAATAAACGCGCGCAGCAAATTAAATAAACGTGGCAAACGTTTTTATAGTTCTCAGCCCTTAAGGTCATGCAGACACACTGAACGCGCTTTGAGTGTGAGTGAGCCTTTAGAATACAGGCCGGCGTTAGTCTTAGATGTAAATTTCAAGTTAATATTAAATGGCCATACATATTAAATCTGTCCTATCAGCGTAGCAGTGTGCCTATATGTTCTACCAGGATTATAGCAATTTCCATAGTGCGTTAGGATATTTTGATAAATACTGTAGTCTAACCGCTTTGGAGTAACAGGGAAAATTTGACTTATCTTGTATGACATGCATATGCGTTGGAAAGCATGTTTATAAAATGAAAAGTATTAACTAGCACTAAGTTAACTATAATATTACACTAAGCTAACTATTTTCATTATAATCCATTATTTAGATTTCAAAAATAGCAAATTTTGCATTTACGGGTTTCCTGTTCTTCATACTCGCATGTTTAAGGTAAGACATGACGTGCATTTATTCGCTAAAATGCGCTCTACATAGTGCATGTTGGGACGTTTAGCCAAGTAATCAAAATTTAGCTCACCCATGACCCATGCAGAGTTCTCCTGGTCTCTTCCTTGAGACAACAACGGATCGAACTTGGAGAGGACGGATAAAAGATTTTTTTAATTTTTTTATTAACTTTACAATCAAATGACCGATGGTAAGGACAACAGGACGTGAGTCCCTAATTAAGTCCCACCAAAAACGTACATTACATAATTACTTATAGGTATTACAAGAATACATATTATATTTAAGAAATATAAAACATTTTCCGTGTTGATATACAGTTATATCAACTCGAAATTGTGTGAAAACACTCCGCCCGTCGTGTTTCCACACAATTTCTCGTTTTCCCAACTTCCACGAGTGTTGATATGACTATATATCAATACGGAAAAAATGTTTTATATTTGTTTTATAATATAGCAATGTCAAAAGCCCGAAGAATTAGAACAATTTCCGTGTTACAAGCGGTGGAAAATTTCCCGTGTTGACATGGAGTTATATCAACACGGCTCTTAGCCAATCAGCGTTCAGAATTTACAAATGCTATATTATAAACATAAACATTAGGACATATACAACAATTATAATTACATCTATGAACAACAGATTGTATGTAAAGAACGACATTTACTGCATACAGTTTTCCATGTTCTAGGACGGTCTACATCAAAAGTACTGTTCAGCTTTCTAGTGTAATATATATATAGTTTAGATTTAAGTATGGCGACTGACGGATTACGAAGATGATTTGATATCAGACGGTAAATTGTGTACAATTCTGTTAAAGTATGAGTTTCGGAAGAGGGAGCCTCAGGGAGGTTTTGCACAGGTTTGGACGAAGATCACCAGTGAACTGGAACGAGTGGAGTGGTGAAGAGGTTGGGTTATATACTGATTGATGTCAATTTCGTACATCCCGTATTTACATTTGTAGAGGAATATGATGTCTAAACATGGCCCGCGGTCAGGCGCCGCCGCAAATTTTTTTCCGTAGACAGTCGGACTCCTCATTGATAGTCGGACGCATCATTGACGCGTCCTGGCCTCCGCGCGTTATCGATCGATCCCTTCGTACCCTGCGTAACCCACTGGTACACCATATATCCATCACACATGCACACGTCGGTTCTTCTTCGACCACGTGTAGAAAGATGAACGATTAGCTTCGCGATGCCATAGCAAAGCTGCAAACTTGTTTTTCTGGTTCCGAAAATACTTAAGGACTGTTATTGCGAGTTATAAAACTATATATCATCCCAACTGAAGAGAATCAGGATAAGATAACTAGCGTACAAGTAAATACTGGAAGATTCAAAGCGACCATCAAGACCACTTTCCACAAATAGAAGTATTGCAGAATACCCGTCCACTAGTAATATCATATCATGTAGCCCGGCCACTATTTCACAGCATACGTATATATACCAGATCTTATTGCCTCGTTCTAATATACACAAACTAATTACTAATTATAAGACAATATTACGAATTCAGTGATACTATAAAGGAAATATCATGCAAGACTGTTAATGTTTAATATTATGCTTAGTATGCTTTATAATATAAAACTTTTAATTTTCTCCCAGCGACGCTAATTAATCCGGCATAATCTGTCAAACACCAATGTCCGGTTGGCGGTTGTGACTTGTGAGGAACATATTTACATATTACACCGCATTATTTATTTCTTTATTGCTGATTCGCCCAAGATATTGAAATTGCACATAAAAGAAATAAACTATTTACAAGAAATGGGCTAGGAGCCTACCAGAAACCATATGGCTTTTGTTTTAGGCCCCTAGGTTATAAATTTAAACTAATTAACAAAATAATATGCAGCATCAGTTCGAGTGCTTTTAGGAGAAAGGAAAAAGAATAGTTAAATATTATATGATATGATAGTAAGTTATATTTACAATTCAATTTTTGATTTAGAGTTTTCCTATACACTTACAGGAATATGTTATTCTATTAAATTTAGATCTGAGAAGTACTTTTTCATTATTGTCTTGAAGGAGTCGTAAGACTTAGCAGGTTCTTTATATTGAGTGGGAAGATTATTCCACATTTCTATACCTTTATTAGAGAGAGTGTGTTTTGTGTAATTGGTTCTATTGCTCTTTTTGTGTAGCAATGACGAATTTCTAGTGTTATGATTATGAATTTCCTTATTGGTTAAAAAATAGTTTGTGAATAATTCTGGTAAATTGTTCTGATGGAAATATCGGAACATAAACATATTGTTAAAGTGCCTATATCACTTGTGGGACCTTTACGGATTTGAAAAGAGGGTAAAAAGTTAGTTAATAAGTTTAAAAGCTTTCTTGATTTAGTGCAATAATTTCGAAGATATAGGCCTCTGAACTACATACAATTCCTGCGTCCCAGGCTCCTATCAACAATGGACATTTTCGACCCGGTTTAGACCCCAGGAGGTTGGGACTCAGGAACAGTTCGTTGTTTGAGGGCCTATATCCTCAAAAACTATTTCACTAAATCAAGAAAGGCTTTAGAACTTATTGACGAACTTTTTAATTTCTTTCTAAATCCATAAAAGTCCCACAAGTGATATAGGCACTTTAAATAATAATATATTTTGTATAAACTGAGAATTTTTAGGTGATGAAAGATTGGCTCAGAATGTTCAAAATAAGATTTAAAAGTCATTAATCGGACAATCTTTTTTTGAATATTAACTAACTTTTGAATACGAAATTTGTAGGTGTTACCCCAGATCAAATTCCCATAAGCTAAATATGGGTAGACCAATGCATAATATATTAACTTTAAGGAGTTTAAGTTTGTAAAATGTCGAATTTTGGAAATAATTGCTGTACATTTGATAATTTTTTTGTAATCAAACTTAAGTGTTCACACCATGTTAAGCATTCATCAATAACGATTCCTAAAAATGTTGTGTTTTTGACTTGTTTTATCGATTCATTGTTGATTGAAATTTTTATATCATCTTTAAGTTTCTTATTTTTTTATCTAAAAAGGATAAATTTCGTTTTCTGTGTGTTAATGGATAGTTTATTAGCATTCAACCAGTCAGTAATTTTATTCATTTCGATTTGAATAATTTCTTTCGACTGTTTAAGACATGTATGACTAAAAAGAATGTTTTTGTCATCCGAAAATAATGCAATTGAAATAAGTTGATTGCAAAATTGAATATCATTTATATATAGCAGAAACAATAATGGACCCAACACTGATCCCTGTGGGACACCGCTTCTAATAGTCATTACCTCCGATTGTACATCATTATATTTAACAATTTGTTTTCTAACCATTTCTTCAAACCATTTTTTGGCCACTCCCCTTATGCCATAATGCTCCAGTTTTTTAATCAGGCCCGGTCTAAGGCCAGGTCTAAACGCCGCATTTTACATGCGCCGAATCAAATTATTGAATTACATGCATGTAAAATGCGACGTTTAAATCAATTAAATTCGACAGGTTTGAATTAAGTGCGACTTCAGTCGAATATTCGACTGACTCAGTCGAATATTCGACTTAAAGTCGATTGTTGATTTAAACGCCGCATTTTACATGAGTCGAATCTAATGCATAAATTATGTTAAAATATTATTACCCATTACTCTGCGGTTTCATGCAATATGACATGCGCAGATAGGCGTATATACAGCTAGAGCAAGCATGGCCGAAATGGATGACTGTTTTTCTTGTTCAATCGAGACGAAATACAAATACACTTGTTTAACAACTCTTTCTCGACATATATCGCAATTACAGTATTATCGGATTCAATTGGTTCTATAATGTAACTGATATCTCAGCGAGTATTTAACAGTAAACGAAAACCACCATTGAAATTCTCACAAAATACCCGTTTAAACAGGCAGTCAAATGCCGTTAAAACATTACATAAACTCCAAAACAATCATACATTTACTCACCCTTGCATGGCCAAACATTCTGAATTTCATTTTGGCGAAAAAAACTAGACTCTTCTAAACTTTTCGTTATTCTCTCAAAGGCCATGGAAGTAAAATGTATTCAAGCGCTCTCATGTAGAAAGTTTCGTTTGAATATACGGCGAGAAGAAATATTTATTTGGAATTTTTCAAAATATCGGGTTTTACTCGCACGCGCGTACCACGCACTATGCCGGCTTACAAACTAAGGAGCACCATGCATCTTCTGCCTTCTCCTTGCCAAGAGGTTATTTACTGCCATATCCATTAAAAGTCGTCGTTTTCTGTTGGCATGAATGATGTTTGATAGGCATAAACACAAAGTTTTTTCTCTTACAACTTTGGATTTGGCGCCATTTGACGGGCTTTGCAAAGTTTCGACGTCTGAATTAAAATTTGAAAAATGTCAATTCAAGTCGACTCGAATATGTATTTGATTCGACGCATGTAAAATGCGGCGTTTAGACTTGGCCTCAGAATCCTGTGATTAATTGTATCAACTGCCTTTGACAAATCAAGGAAAATACCAACAGAGTATTTTCCTTTGTCAATTGCTTTGGTAATTTTGTATAAAAATGCAATTATTGCATGTTCTGTGGATCTATTTTTCTGAATCCATACTGATGTCTTGATAATATTTTGTTTTTATCAATGAATTTTGATAGTCTGTTGATCATAAGTCTTTCCAGTAATTTAGAAAAGCAAACAAGAACCGATATTGGTCGGTAATTTTCAAACTTCATTGCATCATTACCCTTAAAACTTGGTGTAATCATTGCAACTTTTAAATTATCTGGAATAATTCCAGTCGAAAATGTTATGTTAAAAATATGTGTTAATAGCTTAGAGATTTCTTTAACTGACAATTTGGCAATGTTTGTATGAATACCATCGTATGCACAACGTTTTTTTGACTTCATACTTTTCAGTTCTATTTCAAGTTCATTTTCTGCAATAGGATTAAGAAAGTAACTGGATTGATAATTACCTTTGAGATATTTCTCAAAACAATTATTATTATTACGTAGCCTACGTTTGATCTTATTTGCCAAATTAGGACAATATTAATGAAATAGTTATTGAAATTGTCAGCTATGATTTTGGGGTCATCTATTATATTTGATGAGCAGTTTTCAACAAAGGTTTTTGATATTTTAGTATTTTTCTTTGGTTTATTAAGTAATTCATTTAGTGTTTTCCACATCATTATAGAATTTTGCTTATATTTTATTACCTGGTCCTCATAATATTTTTTCTTTGCCATTTTTATGATATGGTTTAGTTTATTTTTATAATTTTTGTATAATTTTTCATTTTTGCTATTTCGATTCATAAGGAAGGTTTTGTAAAGTTGAAGCTGTCTATAGCCTGAGAATTTAATCTATTAATGCTAACTAACTGTCGCCTTAATTTCAAAATAACTACTTGACTGGGTATCCACGTATCCACTACAATATAGAGCTACCTATAGCATGATAATTTGATCTAATGCTTACCTAACTGGTTTCATATTATTCTCAAAATAACTACTTGACTGCGTATCCGCATATATGACATGTATACTATGTAGTATTTAAAACACGAGAAGGAGTGTTTTATCATATTTATAAAATGCGAGGTGCAGCCGAGCGTTTTAGATATGATAAAACGCGAGTTCGAGTGTTTTAAATAGCTTAAAATACGACTACAAAAGAATACTAATTAGGATGAACAATTATATAATCATACTAATAACGAATACTAATGAAGATGAGTTTTATCAGATATAAAGTCACTTCACGTGACATGTTATGGTTGATATGATTTGCCACAAGGTTTATGAATTTTTAATGAGTATTTTAAGACAATTTAATCTATTAATGCACTGTAAGTCACTGTATGCCTCGTAGCTACCTTTACCACCATGATATTTTAATCTATCAATCTATTTATTATTATTTATTAATCTATTAAGAATTCAATAAATATAGATGTTACTGAATATACATCGTATGCAGGCATGATGTTTGAAAGGAATATTAATAAAATATGTCAGATGTCATCACCACACAAGATATGAAGCCACAATGTGTAATAAGAAGAGTATCCGCTGAAGGTTTTGTTTAAGGGCGCGGGTCAATGATGCGTCCGACTATCAATGAGGAGTCCGACTGTCTACGGAAAAAAAATATAGTCTGATGCTATACCAGAAATACATGCATGCACCAACTCCTCGCCTAACCGAACACTGATACAACGATATTACCCAATTAATCGTCTCCTTACAGTCATAATATAGTTTCATCAGTTCGATAATACATGAATTGGATAAAAACCAAGAAAACGCAATTAATTCAAAGAAACTCTGAACAATATCATTTCGTAAAAATTGGGTCAATCATGTATAGGGAATCCTATAATAATTTAATCCTATAGGGCAACAACTAATAGTCAGGCTAGCCTCTCCAGTGTAATGTCCTACTACACAAAATGAATGCAAAAATTGATACAATGGCGAGGAAAGTTGATGCAATAGAGAAAGTCATTGTAACATCCCCTAACGCGCAAGGTAAACGTTACTCACTTTATTATTTTAAGTATGTTGGCTTGCAATTTATATTGAATGCAATTTATTTTTTCTTGTCATTGTTCATTGAAGGAAGGAGAATTGATATAATAGGGAAAATATAGTAGTTTTTGTATTAGTGTTACCCCCCATTAGATTTAGTTATTGAGTTTATTATTATTTATTTAAAAGATTCATGGTTTCTGAATAACTAACACGCAGCCAAATGTGCAATCGTCATATCATATCGACTAAATAGCTGACCAAAACAATATGGCGACCAAAACAATATGCCGCCGCCTTAAAAATAAAGTTTTAGAAAAGATGAACTTGGACATTGGTATATAAAAAATACACAGGGACGCCGGTGCGACGGGGGCATCTGGGGCAGCAGATTGTACTACTTTTCGAAAATCGTGCCTTTTTTGCTTTGCCGAAACTTCCCAGGGGTGAAATTTATGATGTACTGTTTAATAAACGAGCAGGAGTGTTTTATTGGGTTTAAAGCCACGAGCGCGCAGCGCGAGTGGCTTTAGACCTAATAAAACACGACCTGCGAGTTTATTAAACGGCTTCAAACACGACTACAAATTCAATAGATATATTGCCTTATGTTAGTATTCTTTATATATATTATGGCTGACATGATTTGCCAATAAGCTTATGAATTATTAATGAGTGTTTGAAATGCTCATAGTAAACACAGAAAAAAAGTTGGGGTCACCGAACTGGTTTTCAAGATGTGACAAGTGCAATATTGTAACGCCTTTTCCTCGATATGTGGCCATCTTGACCCTTTTACGAGTTACACTGAGGAACAAGCGCAAGTGCTCAACCGTTGTTGAATTTTGTTGACAAGGATCCTACTAAAAATGTCTGTCTAGTGATTATATACAAGAAAACATGGTATTTTATAGCGAGTCAAAAACAATTAACGTGCATTGTCGTAGTTTTCCAATTGGGGAAGTATGCGCAAAAAATGAAAAATATTATAAGTTTGAGAAATAATTTTTCTTTTATTTTCTGAAATGACACGTAAAACGTATAGAAGAACAAAAACATAAAATAAAAATGTAGGGTCACGGACCTTCTTAAAGTCTAAAGAGATACAAGGGTTAAACAATGCAACATGATGTGGTTTAGAGTATTAGTTGCACAGAGAGCCCCAGCCGGAGTTCTGTCATGGTATATTTCCTGAAGCGTGCCTAATCAACGCAGAGTGTTTTTCTCTTTGCCCTTACTCTTTCTTTGTCACTTTACATTGCAGTTCGACTACATATATTGGCTAGAATGTGTTATATGCGCAGTAAAAGTACGCAATACAAACAGATGAATCACCTTTTAATTATCTTTAGGCAAGCATTGCGCCGATCTTTATAAGAGAGGTTACAGAACCGATGGTGTTTATTCAATTGACCCAGACAGCCGAGGCGCATTTAAAGTAAGATGTGACATGACCACATCAGGAGGAGGATGGACCATCTTTCAAAGACGTGTTGATGGAAGCGTTGACTTCTTCCGCAAGTGGAGGGATTACAAAAATGGTTTTGGCGATCCTCTGGGCGAATATTGGCTTGGTTTGGATAAGATCAACCGTCTAACGAACAGCGGTAGAAATATGCTTCGAATTGATTTGGAGGACACGACTGGGGGCACCAAGTACGCTGAGTACAACGTCTTTTCTGTAGCTTCAGAGAAAGCGAAATATAAACTCGGCTTGGGAACGTATTCAGGTATGATTTTCTGCTTGAACTTTGGGTTCAGTCAGTCTAATTTCACTGCGTTATAAAAAGACTGTAGACGTTGTTAACAAACTACAGTGTAGACGTACATTCATCGCAGCTCAAGCGACAGAAGAGAAAAAGCTCTTTTGTATAGACTAATAATTTATATATAAAAACGAGTATATTAATAGACCTTCCTTTTTATTAGTGAAATTTTGATCTAGATATGCCTGGGCAACAATTTCATCACAGCTTGAAAGAGCATCACAAAATTAGTAATATTCCGAAGTTTCGTTGCGAAATGTTGTAAAATGCGGATAATATAGCCTTGCGAAGTTTGCCGTTTTTCAGTCATTTTGCATTACAATCTAACATTTTGCATCAGTTTGATCATCTGATTATCAATTTCCCGTTTGTAATACCAAATGACTGAAAAATGGCAAACTTCGCAAGGCTATATTATCCGCATTTTACAACATTTCGCAACGAAACTTCGGAATATTACTAATTTTGTGATGCTCTTTCCCCTTTTGAGTGAAATTTTTGTCCAGACTTGTCTAGATCAAAATTTCACTCAAAAGGGGAAAGGTCTATTAAACACGCAGCAAGAACAGGTTCATCAATTTCATTTTTTCACCTTCCAGGCACAGCAGGTGATGCTATTAGTGGCCGAGGCAAGCCATTCACCACACGTGATGCAGATAACGATGACCATGACAATAACTGTGCTGTATCATACAAAGGCGCATGGTGGTACAGATCTTGCCACGGTGCAAATTTAAATGGCTTTTACCATCATGGAAAACATAGGTCGTACGCTGATGGAGTGAATTGGTATAATTGGAAGGGTTATCACTATTCTCTCAAGAAAACGGAAATGAAAACCAGACCATCTGGCTTTCCTTTGAACAAATAATCAGTTTGATCGATCGTTTCTTTATCACGGGAGGCCATTTTACTATTATGAAATACAATTAATTACAATAATATATGATCATGATGAGACAGACAGTATAATAAACTATCACTTCAGTAAAATTGCTCACTTGTTTGTAAAAGAATAATTCAATAGGGAAAAAAATTATTATTAGGAATAAGTTGTAATTAGTATTGATTGTCATTGAAAATAAATTAATTAGCGGATAATTATATAATTACAGTACTAGTATAAATAACCCTGGTCGGAGCTAGTCATGTGGCCCCCAGTCAATTCACAGCAGGCACATTATAAATATGCGAGACCTTTCATTGCATGGTAATTAGCCTTCAGTATTTCCAGAATAATCCAGCTCAAAATCCAGCTTCTTTCGACTTGTATCACGCCGCTGTGGGTCATCAATATTTATATCAATTTTAATCTTTATCGTATACTGTGCTCGACATTTTAAAAGTATCATCCAACGGTGCTAGAGACAACCTCGTACCCAGGCTCTTTCCACTACGCTCCTCGCTGAGCTTGTGCTAGAGACAAACAGTTGATGTTTCAATGGAAACTTTAAAAGGCTTATATAAAAACTCATCACGTATAATGGGCTATGTCTGTGCGAGACTTCGTGCGCATATGCAGTTTATGAACTATGTGTATAATTATTGAGATACTGTGAAATATTTTGGCTTCAACATGCAAGTTGTACTCTTCAACATGTAGGTGCAGGCAGAAAAGGAAAAGTATGTAGTTGTCTTATATTTCTGTACTGTAGATTTCCTAAAAAATGTGTATGTTATACACTCCTTCCTATCTATTGTTTATTAATATAAACGATGATAACCTATTTAAAAAAAATAGTGGGACTATGTATATCAACAGTTTTAGAATCAATAGACACTTCTTTCCGCACATTTCACCCTTTAGACGGAAAAGGTGAAATATCAATAAATTACGTCATGGAAATGAAATTCGACAGGTTGCGCCCACTCGTTTTCTCCGCCTCGTCGTGTCCACCCGCATTACATTACATTATTATTCTGCTCACTCCCCATTGGGGCTTTTCAGTGACCGATTACATCAAGTATTACGCTCACGTTACTTATGTACTTATAGCCTAAAGGCTGCTCTCCAGTTAAGCGTTTTTCATACGTGCGTGTACGCACGTAAAAGTTTAAATCTTTTAAAATTTTATTTATGAAATAACTAATTGAATAAAAGGAAAGAATTTAGTTTTCTGTGTGATTTAATATGCATTTGCTGAGGTAATTAGTACTTGTATAAAATTTAGAAAGATTTAAACTTTTACGTGCGTACACGCACGTGTGAAAAACGCTTAACTGGAGAGCAGCCTTTACGATCAGGTTGTGGAAACATGAAAACAGGATTGAACAATGTTTTGCTGCCCACATATTGAAGAATATTGTCACCCGATTCAGACTCAACAATATTATTCAATATTGTTGACAAGTGTGAACAACCTGGGCAGCAAAACATTGTTCAATTCTGTTAAACATGCAGCAAGCTCATAATTTTCACGCGTGTAGACTATTTATCTTTACAACAATTGAGATATTACTTTCCTGGCTGTGTTTATCCTAACGCACCCTTTCAACTTTCCGCATTGAGTTAAAGTGGCCGGGCAAGAAAACCTGTGCACCCAGAGTAAACGTGTATGGTCGCGGGCACGACAGCCATCAAAATCCAGACAAATGTTTCGTTAATATGGACTAATCCAGATATAGGAAATTTACTGACGTCTCAAGCTGAAGATTGTCCTTTTGCCTTGAACTCATTTGATGTTTACTGAAAAATTCGTTCAGTCCATTTCATTGGAAAAAAATTACTTCTTCGCCGAATGAAAGTCATTGAACACTATCGTCGATTGTAAGAATTATGTGGACTTTTTCATGATTCCGCACCCACTTGCCGTTGCGAATTTAAGACGTTATAGTCAAATGACGGTATACAAACAGCTGATTAGATGCCAAAACTTGAAAAAATTAGTATTACCTTATATTACGCTGACTTTCTCTGCAAAATAAGCTTTAATCAATAATTTGCAGGAAAACAGCAAATAGTACTCGAGCACTTCCAATGAAGAAATCTCTATATCATTTTTTTCCCGCTAGTGCATGGTTTGACAGTTTAAAATTAACTTGCCGTTTTAACTCCAGAATATATATGCATGCAAGGTTAGGTGTTTTTAATATTTTAATATTTAGATCTAATTAAATTGGTTGCACGCATATGGATGGTATATAGGATGGTATAGGATGGCCAAAGAAATGAATTTGATATATGATGGTGCATATAGATTTCAATTTGAAAATGGATAGAATTGTGAAGATATCAGAAGTTGTAATGGTCTGACGAAAATGAATAAATTAATGTGAAGATAAACGGATATATATATGTTGTCAATGAGTCAGTGAAGGAAAGCAGTCTCAAAACTGCGACAGCGGTGGTGTAGAGTATACAAGAATGTTTATGAGTGCAATTGTAAAAATATTTTCATTAGATAAAAGAACGCGTTCCATTGCACGCGCAAAATGGGAACTTTTATTCCATATCACGTGTTCATAATAAGCCAAATCAATGACCAGAATTTAAGGTTACAGGACACCCTTTTTGGCATTTTGTGTAAAATCGCTACTGCGCGCTCAATATCAGTCCGATTTTCATCAAATGTTCACCAAATGTTAGCCAATGCATGCAAAATATGGTAAAGTTGTAAAATTGACAAACAATAAAATAATGTAGAATTATTCAGGAAAATCTTAAATCGCGGTACCTTTACGCTTTTGAGTTGTGCTTCTGCTGTTTTTAAGTTATATTTATGAAAATATCATTTTTTTACAGTAAAATAGTTGTTCTAAAAAATTGTTTTCGGAAATTTTTGTTTATTTCGTCATTCCGCTGATATGGCGATTTCTTTGACGACTGCAATATATTTCTGAATTGTTTGAGTGAATTGCTCTTTATTATTAAAATATCCAAAATGAGAAAAATTGGTTAAAACCCGCAGGAGAACAACTCGTTTGAAAATCAGTAATTACCGTAAAATTCTTCGGGAGAAATTTGAATTTGAATATTACATTTTCAATGTTTTTCTTACTGCAGCGAAATGTATTTTATTAAATAACTCTGCAAGTTTTCAACATTTTTCGTTCAAACTTGGTCAGATAGTAGAATTAGTCTAATGCTTTCATGGAAACCAATAAAAAAATTTTAGGCAAAATTAACACTCAAAGGTGTTCTGTAACCTTAAATTAATGAGGTATTATATGATAGGTAATATGGTTTCGAGTGCAATTTGGGAAAAGCATGTACGATCGAATGAGTTTTCGAAGACGATCAAAATTGCACGAGTGTAATTTGAAAACTCATGAGTGTTTGTTTTAGTCCAAATTCCACGAAAAACCGTACTGTTAGGGCCTACTTAATATTAATATGCTTGAAAAAATTACAGGTAAACTACGTGAAGCGTTCCTCTTTTGACTTCGTAACTCATTTGGAATTTTCCTCATTAGCTTTGCAAATTTGAAAAACTCTTTGCAAATCCCTTGAGGGAATTTGCAATGTTCCTATCGGCTGTTGCAATATTCCAAACTTCATTTTAAATTTTCCTAACTTCCTGTTTTAATTTCCTAACTTCCTGTTCTGTTCTGAGCGTTGTTATTGGTCGATTATTTTTATTAGCCAATTGCAACGCCCAGAACAGAACAGGAAGTTAGGAACTTGGAACAGGAAGTTAAGAACTTCTAACAGGAACTGAGGAAAATTTTTTTGGCTTTTAGCAACATTGCAAATTCCCTCAAGGGATTTGCAAGGGAGTTTTTTAAATTGCAAAAGTAATGAGGAAAATTGCAATCAATTTAGAAACTTGAAAGAGGAACGCTTCACGTAGTTTACCTGTAAGCAGTTATGTCCATGCGTAGGTCACATGCAAAATAGACCATTTTAATATAAACAATTTTATTATAAAATTACTTTGATTCGTTTCAATATCCATTTCTTTTCGTTTCTCATTTTCATTTTTTAAATCTTGAAGCTCTTCGTGAACGAATTCAACCGAAGCCTTCATGCGGTATTCAATTCCTGTTCCACAGATTTTATTCGACTGTCTGTCATCAAACTTACTTAGCTTTCCCATTTAATACAACTTCAAACATACTTCATATTTCAGCGTCATTTTCATTCTCTTACTGGACATAGCACTGCTCTTATGAATCAGAAATGAGAAATGTTTTCAAGTATATATGTTATGAAATAATGTTCATGCAGTCCTTTTTCAGATAAGGAAAAAAATTTTACCTCTTCGCCGGATGAGTCTTAGATATAAGAATTGACTGTGACGACTTTAGCATGACCGCGCCTGATTGTCATCCATGACGGACTTATTAAGATGTTCAGCTGATACTGATCCGCACGCAAAAATGCTACCTACAGTACAAAATCGTTGTTAATCGCTAGAATTTATAGAAATGTTGAAAATGCGTAAACTAGATCACCTTTTTGAAGAGATGATGCTCTTTACAAATCGAATTTTGTATATTATACATACAGCGACAATCAAACAGTCGAAAACTGCTCAGAAAAGTGACGTCACCACTGTTGCTATGGCAACAATGACGATTCAAGATGGCCGACATTTTGGCTTTGAACGCATTTTACTTTAAAAAAAGGTCGGTTACCCCCATTTTTTATTTCAGAAAACATTTTCTTACAGTACAGTACACTACCTGACCAATTTTAAAACAATTCTGTAATGCTAAATTTTTTAAAAATTTATAAACATCGTTTTTCGAAATAAATTTTTATTTGCATTACAGAATTTTTTAAAAATTGGTCAGATAGTGCATTGCACTATAACAAAATGTTTTCTGAAATAAAAAATGGGGGTAACCGACCTTTTTTTAAAGTAAAATGCGTTCAAAGCCAAAATATCGGCCATCTTGAATCGTCATTGTTGCCATAGCAACAGTGGTGACGTCACTTTTCTGGGCAATTTTCAACTGTTTGATTGTCGCTGTATATATAATATACAAATTTCGATTTGCAAAGAGCATCATCTCTTCAAAAAGGTGATCTAGTTTACGCATTTTCAACATTTCTATAAACTGTAGCGAGCCACCTTAAGCAGCTTTTATCGTCACGAATAGGCTTCTACAGATTATGCTCGGCAACTTTCTGGCAACTTTTTGCATTTGGAGCAACTTTTTATG